GGCTCGACCGGCGCTGCATTCCGACGCGAAGCGCAACAGGCAGTTGATCAAGAACGTGTACTCCGAGCCGAGAACGGGCCGCGGACCGCCCGACCGTTGTCCCGGGTGGCCGCAGGCGTCCTCGTACGTCAATCGGAAGGCGAAGCAGAGCGAGACGTACCGGGCCAACGTCGCCCTGAAAAACAGGCTATTGAGTGCCCGGCCGACCGTGCCGAGGATCCGACCATTGGGCCCGAGAGTCGCGCGGTAGTGTTTGCCCGTACGGATATAAATAGTTATTCCTGTTTTGATTTTTTTTCAAATGTATCTGGTATGTATAATTTATTTACTAAAATGGTCGGAGCACAATAAAAAAGGTAAAATACGTATGTAGTATATTCAAATTTTGAATAGTTTGATTCAAAACTCATATTATTATCCTATTATAGTGATTTGATATAATATATTGATAACAGCCTTACATTACGATAGTGATGAGTAAATTACTCTCATGCGCAGAATGCACAAGGTGCATTCCTGTGTTTAAACGCTCCTGAAAATTAGGAGCGTCTTAACACAGAACTGAACCGTGACCTCTCTGTGCATGAGCGAATACCATATCAAGAATTGAAATCTCTTATAAATTTATCAATATCATAGAATTGATATTCATCTGTTAATATATAATATATTTAAGAGCAATGACTTAAATAACCATAATAATAATAATAATAATTATTATAATTAAATATTATGATTTTTTTAGTAAGAAGGTACAAGTCAATAATAGTTAAGTCAATTCTTTTTTATACATAGTATACCTAGTACAAGTAATATTTTTAATAATATAGTTTTTATGCGTTATAGAAAAACATTGAAACTAAATGTAATTATGAAGAATAATTACAGTAATTACGAATTAATAAAGATGGAAGATTGTATGCTAAAATAACTGAAAACTGAAATGTAAATAATATGTTAATAAAAACATTAAAAATTCTTTTAACTATAATATATTTCGTAAAAAAAAAATTAAATAACATTAACAATTATTTGAATTATGATGTAATTCATAAAAAATTATTTCATTTTAAATATTGACCATGATTATTTAAGCCATTGTCAAATTCCAATAAAGCGTAGGGTGTTGATTGCCAAATCTATTGAAGTTTTATCACCAAGTCATCTTAGAACTCCGAGGAAGGCAAAGAGACATTTAAACATGGTGAATAACAAATATAGTGAAAAGCAAATTCAAAATGAAAATCTGAAAAAACGAATAAAAAGATTGACAGAAAAACTCAATACTTATGATGATCTTGTTCTAAAATTACATAGTTAGTTTAGATGCTTATCTTTAAAACCAAATATCATAACAAAAAATTTAATTTCATAAATGTATTAAAAATGTTTATTTATTATTTTAATACATATAAAAATTTAATTTATTATTCATATAATTTAAAAAATTACTATTTCAAAGAACAGATAAAATATGCAGTAAAAATTTAAAACATATTCATTTATAGGAAAAAAATTGAAAATAGAGGTATGCATAAATATGTACAAAAAACTTTTAAATTTCAAGTCCAGACACTGGTACCTACAATCATTAAAGTAAGTACTGAAAAAACAATTAAATACTTCATAATAGGAACTGAAATAAGCTCATAAAAATATTAAAAAGAAGCAAAAGAAGCACGATATGATTTATCAACCCAATTTTTTTCCAGCTTAAAATACGACCCATGGGGAGGCAAATGTCCCTTTCGGTCCCTCAAATACGTTTTTTCTCGTCGCTCGCCAATGTGAACCTGGCCTACAAGGCCGTATCTGGGGGGGGGCCAGGGTGTCTAGACCCCTAAATTTCTTCAATATTTTACGAATGATTAAAATAATTATTTATTTTTAATACCAACATAAATATTTTCAATCAAAAATGATTTAAGCTCCAATTAACAATTGACTGCTTTTAGTTTTATATCATAAAATCATATGAAAATATGATATTAATTTTAATAAAAGAAGATTAAATCTTTATCTGTCTTATTTTTATCCACATACCAAAAGTTAAAATCTAAATTCAATAAAATTACAATATACATGTTTTGGAACCCTCCCGAAAAAAATGTCTAGGTACGGCCTTGATTAATATTATATACTTTTCTTACAAACCAACGTTGTTAATTATTTATATTATATTTATATTATTTATTGACGTCGGAATTGAACCACCATCAAAAAAAGACTATCTAAATTCTATAAATGATGAGGAGAGCTGCTCATCACCGAATGATTAATTTTAAAATACAATACGAGTACTTCCTTCCAAAATAATTAAAAATAATAAAAAACAAATTAAAATCATAAATGTTTTTAACATATAATATAATTTGTTAGAAATAATAATAATAATAATATTTTATTATATAATACGTATTATGTAATAGCTAATACATAGTAAAAGCAAAATAAAGTTAGTAATTGTATTCAGATTTTTGTTTGTATTATTTTCCATGTCGCCTATAAGATTCATTCGGTTATAAATTTCACATTATGCTGGTCCTTAAGTTATAAGAGGCGTTCACTGCATGTATATACAGTGGCGTAATTACGGAGAGGGTGTAAGAGGTTTCCATCCGCCTACAGATTTTTTTTTTATAATATTTGATTATTATTTATTAATATTTATATATTAGAGTAAAATATTTTGATTTTATTATGATTAGGTATATATTAAAAATTGAATAACAAAATAATGTTCGTTAAATACGAGCCGCCACTATTACCTGTTAATTGTAACTTGTTAGTTTAAACATTTGACATTACACAGCAGATCGTACGTAGCGAGAGCTCATCGAAAACAATAAATTTTGTGTATGTCGGGCAACTGTGTCTTTTTGATTTACGCCTCACACCACGGAATTTTCGCCGTAAGGTTCAAACGGTTTTTATATTTTGAATTTTTTAGTGCATATTTTACATATTTTATCAAATGTAGGTGCATTATTGCATGCTTATTTATGCATTTTTTAGTGCATGAACGATCCCTGTATATGAATAACATTATTTGTTGTTAACCAGTATTATGCAACACATAATACACGACTAACGAAACAACACCATGACAAAAACTGGTGCGTTTATTTATAAGTGTATAATTTGTACAAAAATTAATAAAAATAAAAGAGATGATACCATCAAAATCGTAAGTGTATGCATTAACAGTTATGTTATGGATTTCTCAAGAAATCACATTTGCCAGGCGATCCACGCGTTTCACGTTTTATTTTATAAGATTTTCATTCAAAATATTTTTCAATTAAAATTTTAAGCGTGGGGCTCTAAACAAATGCCCCGTTTCACCTCCCCTTAACGCCAGCCCTGGAAGACGCATGTTGGTTGCGCCATCAAATTCTACAGAATTTAATGACAATTTCCCCAATACCGTCTAATCTATTCATTTCTCGCCCTCTATTATCTTAGTCCGTAATAACCATGCTCCAATTCTATGATCTCGATGTCACGACAGTCATAGAAAACAATAGACCGTGATTATGATTATTGATCATACTGATTTAGCAGGCTGTTTCAATTTCTAGTTGCTATTTTTGTAATTTAGTATTTTGTACCAACGTACCCGTAGGTACCAGCCATCGGGCAACATTTATACAGGAAGCGGCCCACTGTCCTATAGAACAGTAGACCACCGGCCCACTCCGCCCCTGTTTATATACCTCATCGATTACGCACTGAATGAATTTCAAAATAATGAGTACTTACGTACACTAATATGTGGGTCCCTCATTGAAATATTATCAAACGATGTTTTTCAATATTTGAATAAATAATAACATATTCATTGAACTAGCCTTTCACGATCTCGGGGATATCTTAATGACCACTTGGTATCAGAAGAAAAATGTACGAAATGCTTAAATAATATAACCTGTTGGCGAAAACGTTTGATTGATGTTTAATAATACAATTGAGAACTGTGTTTACAAAATTTTCATCATTTAAAGGCATATAGCTCTGGATTCTAATAACATATAATACAACTATAAGTCGACTTTTTTTTTCGTAGTTATTCCTAACTAACCTACACCGCAATTGACAACCAAACCACATATACACTGATATGTAAAACCATTGAGTTAAATATTCATAGAAAAAAAAAATCTTATACCATTAATTAAACATTAGTACATCAGAATAAAGTGAAATAACAAAGCAATTAGTTTTTATAACATTTCAATACTTAATGAGAACATTGACATTTTGCGAATAACATTAATCTTCTAATTATTGAATATTTTTTCACATACTCGAGCGGGTACTAGAGAAAATAAAGCAAATTCTATCAATTCATCTTGGCGTTAACTGCATGATTACATTAGTCATAAGTAAAAAACTAAAAATTTAGTAATTACTTTAATACTTGATGCTAATAATTCTGCACCACAACGGTTAACTGTTTGTACAATATATAAAATATACTTATGGAGATCAGTAATATATATCTGAGAACACCTCTATTACAACAATATATATATATATATAATAATAATGACTATTACATTAAGTAGTGAATTTACTCGAGTGAAAGTTAGCAAACAGCAACAATAAAAACGTACCAAATCAACCGTTCGGCCGAATTCCTAACCGAATTAATTTGCGTTTGAGCCGTGCCGATTTTAAACGGCGTTATGCATAGGCAATTGAGGTACACGTGTCGTTTAAATGTTGCTGCCATTCTTGTCAAAAGTACATTGCTTGATAATACTACATCTAACCTAACCGTATTTATTTATTTATTTCATCTCAAGTCGGTGCGATAATTGATGTGAATGTCGTCCAGACTTCCTTTGCACAACGCACCACGACAGAAAATGTAAAACCTGATTGGATTGTGTAACCCGTGATCGTAAACGTCGACGGTCCAAAATCGACGTTAAGTCAGACCGTACGAGTTATATGTTATATTCACTATCATAAATTCATAAATATAAAAACGCCTATACGCTATAATAAATAATAATATAATATTTACACTACAATATATATTTATGTACAATAGATTTGATAAACATTTCAAACGAGGGACAGAGACGGACAATTATAAGCCGAAAACTTCTAGATCGACGCGCGAACACACTTGACAGGTGTTCGTTTCGAAACAGAAAAAATGTTTGAAAAAAATAATAATAATAATAATAATAATAATAGTAATAATAACAGAAAAGCTTTAAAGAAAAGTAAAAGTTAAGAGTTCAACGGATTTTGGAACCACGAGTCGAGGTCGTTGCTGCTGCTGCTGCTGCCGCCACCACCGCCAACACCACTGTCGGCTCGTGGACTGCGCGACGTGATCCGCAGGTCGTTGGGCAGATCGTAGCAGCGGCACACGCAACACGACGGGAATTTGAACCAGTCGGAGAATATGCCGCGGCAGTCGTTGGACGGGTCGTAGGCGAGCAGCCTGTGCAGGCGGTACTGCTGTTCGCACCGGCAGCCCTGTCGGCAGAACATCTGCTTGTTCTCGAACCTGTGCAAAGCGCGACGGGCAAAAAGTGTTTACCGGTTCAGTATTACGTTTACTGATCCCACTCACGTGCATCGTTCCCAGTGGACGTACTGCTCGAACGGGTAGAGGTTGAGCAGCGCTAGCACTTCGCCCCGGGTGTTATTCGCCCAAAACGGCGCGACCACTTCTTCCTTGACCGGACAAGCGTTGCTGCGGAAAAGGAAAAAAAAACCCCGAGTCCACTTGTATTATTTCATCGAAACGTGTACCGATGGTGGAGGTGGTGAGGGGGTGACGTGAGATAAATCGGGGGTGTGATCGTATTGGAAAAGAGGATACGCAGATATAGACGTACGGAGAACATGTAAAGACAATATTTGCTGAACCGAAACGGTAGAAAAATATTGATAACTATTCCCTCCAGTTCTACCCACAATGCTACGTCCGGACCAACCCTTACAATTTATACGCTCCTCGCATTCTCCGTTTCGTCTCGGAACAGTGACCACACGCGTGGACATCATCCCACTCTTGTTAGCGTTCTCTTATCCTAACTCCTCATTGGTCCACGGAATTGACCGTGTATCCAAATGGCATAGGTGCAATTAGATTAAAACATTTGGGAGGGGGGGCTTCAGTTCTTCCCGTTTATTTTTCAATCACTACCTCTCAGAAACTTTTTTCTCCACCCTTCAACTTCTATAAAAATGTGCTCATTGGAAGGCAAGTATAACTTAAAGTAGTATAACTATTACTTTTTCAATAGTAATCAAATATAATATATATTTCTGCATGGTTTTTTTTGGGGGGGGGAGGCTTTGAATGCTTTTGAGGGGACTTAGCCGCTCCAGCCCACTCCTAATTGCGCTTAATAGTATCATTTAATCGTATATTAAACAATCACGTGCATTTTAAGTTTCTTACAATCTTCCTCGGAACTCTCCTCATTTTTGTGCATCTGCGTGTATACGCGATATAATGCGTTTTGAGGCTGTTTAACTACAGTCATCGTAAAAACTGACTACAACGAGCGTACAAAAACAATCGTTATATTGAGCAGGAGTAAAGGACGCGTTATCGTCTACACGTCATAAGGCTTTTAGTTCATAGTTGAGGTTTTTTTTTACTCACATGCCTTTTGATTTCTGAGGGTTTTCCGTGGTGGCCGACGATTCCTTGAAGAATCCCGGTTGCTCCACCTGGTCGGTGCGCTGGGTCGACGATATCGCTTCCGTTGTGGTTTCAAGCGGATCGTCATCCGTAGCGTCGTCCGTGCCGTCTTCTTCTCCGTCCTCGACGGTCGTGGTGAACACGGTCTCGGGCAGGGTGGTGTTGGTCGGCGGCTGGACGGTAGTGGTGGTGTTGGTCGTGGTGCTGGTGGTAGGGGTGCTGCTGGATATCGTGGTGGTTGTCGGCGCCGGCGGTGACGGTTGCAGGTCGTAACGGTTCAACGACGACTCCTCTCTGCGCCGGTTCCAGACGCCTCCTTCGATGTCGTTGGTGTCCATTTCGGCGCGCAACACCGACATGTGTCGTTGTTCGCCGTACATGCGTTTCATCAGACCGTGATTCTCGAACACGAACCGTCGGACCGCGTGCCTATGGACATACGTACGAGCATACACGATTAGACGTCAGGTGTAAATTAATATTATTATATCAGTACGTCATTTGAACACGACGCGTCGCGACGTGAAATTCAAAAGGATAGAAAACTACAGCTGTTTCTACACTGAGCCGATCACAAACCACTATAATCTGGACAGTGACAAAAACATAACTTTTGTATTGGAGGAGGGAGGATCATGTGTAAACAAATCATTATTTGTATTTTATCATTATTTCTTTACGTTTCTAACGCCTTCACACTAAGAAAATTATTTTGTAGTATTTAAAAAAAGACCTAGGGGATCCGATACCCACATCCTCCCTTATATCCGCCACTGATCTAGACGTATTATATTTTCAACCCTATCTATACACAGACTAATGTCATAAGGATTCTATACCTAGTCGAATTTACTGTCGAAATCTGAGAAATCGAGTTTTCCGCGTTTGAGATGAAATGCACGTATGATCTAGATTTAAATACGTCGATTTAGATCGATCTATTGAGATTTGTAACATAGCTTCATTAGTCTAGAACTAGTCTCAAGGTCATTTAGACAGTGCTATTTATGTTATTATGTTACGCAAACACAACAGATACACAGCTTTCCAATAACGGTCCATTGTTCGAATAGCTATGAAAACATATACACATCTACACTAAGTATATAAAACTATCTCCCAAACATAAACTAATAATACGAAGTAATTTTAGTACCTAGCTCTGTTGTCGCCAATCAATCTTTGATAGTCTTAAATAGTTAAGTGTGTCGATAGTTTAATAACCTGTATCCTCCGGGTCAAAATTATATAGTTATCTTTAATACTGTTGCATGTACATATTTATAATACGGTGTTCCGCCTGATGTAGTATACGTATAGTTATAGATTAAAGTATGTAACATGTTGTAGTTGACCATGCTCGAGGTTGTGTTAATTGTGGGTATAATAAACCTATAAATTGAAGTCGAGATACATCGATAATTCATGAATAACATTTATAATTTTTCTTATTTTTGGATCACCCGTTCGTGTTCTATTAAGTTACTTTAGAATACGTGATATAAATATAACATACCATCACCATACACGATAGTGGTTATGTAATATCGTCTCGATTATTATACGGACCACTCGAAAAATTGTTTGTTGCTTATAAGTTTATAGCGCTACATTAACCACAATGGGTTACATGTTGGTTTTGAGAAACAGGTAATTCTATTACATGGTTATGTTTAAATAAAGCAATAAATAATCAATACGACTGTTTTTTTTCTACATTTTGACATTTTTATATATTTGAACATAATGTTACATTCATGTAAAAAAAATACATTAATATTAAAGTGATAAGTACAAAACATTGAATACTCCCTGCCATTATATTTTAATCGTATTATTAAAATCTTAATTAGTAATTACCAATCTATGGATGATAAGAAAATAACACAAAAAAGTATTTTCCTAACTTTCGTACAGTTGCGATGTATATGAGGTACAGGTTAACGTCAAAATATTAACTACCTGCAGACTACAGTAACTGCTTCACAATAACCCCTGAAGGGTAATTTACGCATAATTACGTACAAAACATGATTCGATAATTTGGATTTTTTTCTATGCACTCACATACAGATACGAAATATAAAAAAAAACACGTATTAGACGTTCATACGACCACTGGTGTAAAATTACAATTATTTTAAGAAACAATGATTATTTTTTTATAATAAGTGTGTAACGATAGTGCAGATATAAGATAGGTAATTATTTATATAGCAAATAGCACATGGTAAGTAAAGAATAATTATAATACTTCTAAGTTCCTAACGGTATAATGACAGAACATCGATAAGACTAGTACAAATTAATTAATTGTTACACATATTGTGTAAATCAGTACGATATACTACTATATGAATAAATATTAACCATTATTAAATACACTATTATTGAGAAATGTATTGTTTTTATGGAAAAAAAGAAAAAGTTTAAATTATTGCAGAACTGCTATTACGATGGCAGTTGAGTAATAGTAAACAGTAACAGTACAAAACGCGTCGTGAAAGAACGGAAGTGTAATAAAAGAATGAAATAATTATTACAAAGTGAAAAGATACTAAAATAATCTCTTGGACTGTTAAACATGAACTACTATGACGTTGAACGAACAATCAATAAATTATGCAATAGTAAAGTACTACAAATGATATGTATCAAATTAATATTTAATTTTAATTAAATTAAAATTATTATTATCTTAACCGAATAATTTAACAATGATGATGTACAAAAATAGTTATTATCTGAAACGTGATGACAGCAAAATTAATTAGCTTTGGTCCGACGAAGAATCCTGATATTTTTGTGGGTAATAGAAATACTCTAGTTTTCCTTGAAAAGATTCTAAGACGACATAAATATGACTATATACTTTCACCACGTCCCTATAAAATACGCGTCTTATCAGATCCCGATCACACAAACAAAGCAATTCACTGTTTAGATCTAGAACTTTCACTCGCTCATGTCACATTAGACATACTTTCACCTACTTTGAGCGTGTGTTACATAAATCATGACAGGCAATATAATGGGCAATTTTTTTTTTTCGCTCACAACAATAACCTACGGCAAACCTACGTGTTTTTGGATAATAGTAAGGTTTTTGTTTTCTAAACTATCTTTTACGTACAATGCGATTCGCGAATACATTACCACGGGTACGTCGATCCGGGTACCATGCACCATGATTGAGAGTTGAAATCGCACGGTAGATCTGGAAATTTTGCTTTTGCATTTCGGTACGGTTTCGTGCACGTACTGTAACCGTCATACCCGTAACCATTGAGCTCCAACGGCAGCTGAAACAAAACAAAAACGCAGTTTACATCGTGTCGCATGTTGTTATTGATGGTACGGGTTCACGTAATACAATCAAATCGTACGGGAGGGAGAATGAAGAATCACTAGTGTGTACGGGCGTGTTTTATTTCGGTAATATTCGAGAAAATATGACCCGCTTCGAGTGTTATATAGGTAGGAGCGGCGTATGTCGGGCAGAAGAAAGGAGCCGTGAAAGTTAAACGCTGGCATTGGAAACTGTGCCATGCGGCGGCCGGCCGACAGTGATTTTTATTGTGCACACAATGTCAAGGTGCCCCAACATTGCAACGAACGAACAGCGAATATATTTTCCCGTCCCGCGAAACACGTATAGATGTACACGAGCATACGTGTATCGTAATGTAACGTGTACGGACACATTGTGGCCGGGTTCAGTCACGGTGCCCCCGACGTCGAGAAGAAAACGATTGGATTTCCGATCGACGTTTCCGATGAACCAGGGGCGTATTTTAGGGGTGGCGAAGGGGACGATCACCCTCCCTGGATCCTTATGTAAGGAACCGATTGTACGAGTATGTGAGATGCACATTACAAATGAATCATTTTATAACGAAATCAAATTACGCGTGGCTGTGAATACTGAATTCGCCTTTTTGTCGGGTCCGCACTTAGTGAAAAATCAAATAAAATACTAGCTTAACTTTCAGAACACAGACATATGTTAAAAAAGAACTACACAAAATTCGATTCTAAGTGGGTGTGACTTAGATTAAAAAAAAACCACAAATATTAAGGATTCACCCGATTTAAATATTACCAACATTTGATTTGTTAATGTTTCCCCCTCCCTTAGAAGTAAGTCTAAATACACCCCTGTGATTAACACGTGCATGCAACCCCCCCCCCCCCCCACGCAAATCATCTTGCCATAAATACACGTCCAAACACTTTTGCGACGACGATTTCATATAACAACGTACATATATTAACATATATTACAACGGAGAGCGGTATAATATAATATCGCGTTACGTGCGAAAACAGTCAAAGACCTCTCGCTGTACGCTGAATCGGTTTCTATCGCGGCAAGGACGAATGAATCGATTAAGTACAGGTGCAGTACCAAAAAATATAATACGCGCGCTGTTGTGCAGTAACATACACGTCGAGCAGAGTATCCCACGACGAGGGTCGTCTATGTCTACCGATTCTTGTATGGTTATAAAGGTACCCGAGAGTTTTAATTTCGATATTGTAAACAAAACCGAAAAAAAAAATAATTCCATTATATTTGTAGAAAATAAATTTATATCGTGATCAATAAAGACCTCGCAAGTCACCCTGTACATTAATATCTAATGTTGAACAGAAACGTTATTGTAATACACGTACACGCGTCGCTAGTTTCGCAACATAAATTCGCGGATTCGACGACCTCTGCAGAGTGTGGTTCATGACCAACGTTTTGGGCTATAATCTGGTCTGACCACATTCGGTCACGTTTCGAGTAGTTCATGTTTCGTTCGTGAAAATCGCACTCAACACTACGGGCGAGCGAGTGCATTTGCGTATACTGTACATTATAACATACAATGATGCAGCCTGCAGGGAGTAAGGGAAAAGGTGAGGATGTCAAACCTCTTCAGCTATTTTTCTATTCCTAACGGTTCCATAAGTACCGTCGTAAAAGGCCACTTTACGTAACTGTCCAAGAGATTGAATATATTATACGAGTACATGTTTTGGTAATAATTTATAACACGTGCACAGCCATCCGAGCTGCGTGTGTATCTAACCAAATGGATTGATTATAATAAATAATTATTTTTTTTTAAATATTCAAGTAAAGTTTTTTTTTTTTTAAAATTTTTCCGTTTGAAAAAAACTGCCGTGATCACACGTGTGCGTATTTTTTAGAAATTAATAACATATTTATACATAATATACAAGGTGAGTCGTCGGGTCCCCTCGTTTTTCTGTTCGTAGAAAATATCAAGAAAACACGGTGGCCCACTCTGTGCAGTATAATTAGACGTCGCAGCATCTAAACGTAATTTATTGACCATCTATGACCAGTCTCGCCGATCGATTACTTGTTGCGACCGATATTCGCTCACGCGCACCGGAAACGTGCAGCAATTAAACAATATAGGTACATGTTATAAAAACAAAGCATTTTAATAAAGTACGCAATGGTAACGGGGATCAGCGGAAAATACGCGACGCGATCGGATGAGAGTTCAAATATTACGTTATTGCGTACGCGACCGCGCATGTATTTATACACATTTATTTGGCGATCGCTTCCGTAGACAATCTAGGCAATTCACCACCGATAAACTTTGTGCTTGTGCCCGCAGACCTCTGCGGGATTCTGCAGTTGTATAAGAATACGTGCGTATATGATTGACGAGAGAGGTATGGTTTGTACAACGCAAACGTGAGTATTTGCATCGTATTTTTCGTCAAATCACCTACTGCAACATTGACTATAACGTATTCCACTATCGTTTGCATCTTGTATGCTTTTATGAGTAACAGGTTGTTTATTTTGCATCACGTGGTGAAATGCTTCAAAGCCTCTAGTTCACATGTGTCTATATATATACGGGTACTGAAGAAGATAACTCGGTCGAGGACATCGGTCCAGTTTGGTATACACTTGGTTGCGCTCGCGCGCGCACCGGAAAGGTGAAGCTCCGACCTTCACCCTGCCTTGCCTGTGTACGTACATTAGTCTTCCTCTTCCTGCTTCGACAACGCACGCGGTTTTACTAAAATCAGTTTTGGGTATCGCAAATACAAATACTCATGTCCACCACCAATCGTGCAGGATGTCTGCCCCACGGGAATTTTCCGTACACCTTAAAGTGGTATGTACGATGGAATGTCCATTAGACTTCCATTATCTTAAAACGAAAAACATGCGTGTATCAAATATATGACGTGTTTTACGAAGGATATTTATACGATCTGTGCGCATCGTCCAATAATTAAGTCATGGAATACGGTATGTGAACGTAAATAAAACGGAACGGCGATCTTTTTGTCCACGGGTCACGATGGATAATTCACGGGAGGAAAACGAGTGCGAAGGATAAAGGGTCCGCGTGTACACATGTACCGTTTTCCCGCTTATAATAACAATCACAAACCTATTAAACTATATGAGCTTATTTACCGAACTGCGCTGTTCGACGTATTTAATGCTTAGTCTATAATTATAAAAAGGGATGCCGTAGAAGAAAAATAATCCATTAATGGTATCGAGTGATTGAAAAATGTTTATCACTTCCGGTTCTTCCGGAGCACTTGGGCCATTCAATGTTACTTCTCGGTTGAAAACGTTGTGATCAATTGGTCAGTAAACCGCAATCGCGGTTCGTATAAACGATTTGGTCACTGTTTTTACCGACTGTTATCATGCGTAGTACGGTTGGTCGCGCGGGTCTCGACATTTGGTGGTTCCGTGGCGCGCACACAATTTTTATTTTTCAACACGACGTTATGGACACCGAGAAGCTATCAAGCACCAGCTGGACCCGCCGTTCGCCAAATGTTTGAAACGATTGTCGATAAAGAAGACCGTGTACAGGGGCCGCGCGGTAAATGAAATCGAATTGAACGTTTTCGGTCGGGTCGTCGGCTGCCGTCTTAACCGAAGCGGTCGCCTCGGAATCGGACACCGAACGAGGTTGAAAAACAAAAAAAAAAAAAAAAAAAACGTATCGACTCGACCGGCGTTGAAGCGCGAAAACGTCGAGAAGAAAATAAACGTAAGAAAACCGTGTTCGGTAATCGATAATAATAGCTTGTACTTACTGCCCAGAGGAATAGTATCTTTAAGTACATGAGTCGTCCACATGCAGTACACTGTAGGGGCGCGCGCGACCACGCACATGGGTTTGGACTGAGCTCGGCCGGGTGTCGCACGCGAGACTGGCAGACCGGACGGACCGACGCGGCGGCGGCGGCGGCGGCGACCACGAAACTGGGTCAGCAAGCTCCGCAGTACGTGTAATGTGTATACCGTTACGTTTAGCCTACTCGGACAGCGGCGGCGGCCAAGAACGAGTGACGAAGACGCGCGGCGGCGGCGGCGAAGGGGCGGCCGCGGATCGTTCCCACACACGCCGCGCCGCCGTCACGTCCGAAGCGCCCGCGCACGTAACACGCACGGACGCGCACGCACCGCCGGCCGGGGGGGGGGCCCGCCGCTCACTTTCACCGGCCGTCCGCACGAGACGGGTTTACGTGTAGGCTCGCCGCTCCGGGTTATCATGGCCGTTGCCTACCCGCAGTGGCGCATCACCGGTGCAGGGGGTTGTTGGGGTGGTCGAGACGCGTCGCAGTGACCTTATCCGTTTCGCGTGCACGCGGTAAGGCCGTACCGAGAACCAGGGGCGTCATTTCAACTTTTGAAAAGGCGGTGCAACTGCTTGAATTTGCCGACTTCGTAATATTTAAAAATTTAATATTTATGGACGACAGACTGTCAATAAAATATTTTTTTCGGAACAAAACATGTAAGGATTAGTAATGAATGATGATGTCATGATGATAAACAGACAACACGAAACGTTTCAATTTACCCAATGAAATAATAACATTAAAGATCGTAAAACATTAATTTATTTACTTATCCTATAGGCTATAAGTTAATGGAATAATAATATAAATTTAATTAAATAAATACTTAAAATTTTATTATTTGTATATTTAATACTTTACAGAACTTATTTATAAAAACATAAAATTGTATCTCAAATATAATGCACTGTAGTTTGGGGCGAAAGGAACGATTTTAACGGTTTTTTATAGATTATGAGCTCATTTTTATGGTATCGATATCACGAAAACTGTTTTATAAAGATCACTTATATATAAATATATAATATACCAAAAATAAAGTTTATAAGGTTCGCGTAATAACGATTGTCATAAACTGGGAAGGAACCATTGTTTCCCAACTTTTAATAAACCGTGAACGTGTATTTAATAGAGAATATTATCTGATTCCTGAGTAATCTGAGTAATTAAGATTTACCGATTTGATCATCGAACAAAGGATTGCCAAATTTTTAAAATTTCTTAGAGTGGGGAATTTGCCATAGTCTGTCTCCTCCAAATAACGTCCCTGGCGAGAACCAATACCGTCTCTGGAAATAATCGAATCAGCATCTTAAAATTGGTTTATCCATCATTATATCCATTATAACATAACCGCGGCGTGAGATCCTTTTCCGTCCATCTCCAACGTAAAAAAAAAAAAATTCAATGATTTTAATTGTGTTTGTACATACGCTCAATCTAATATGACGAAATCATAATAATCGTAATAGTTATCGAAATGCAACACTTTTTCAATGTGGTGCGAAACCTATCCCATCAATCGAGAGGCCGTAAATTATTCGCCGAAAGTCGCCGAAAACGTGAAATTAAAATAATCGATCCGGCTATACAGATCGATCACCATACAAATGCACTATTTCTAACATTATAACTGGTGGCCAAGAGTGGTGCGACCAAAGGCTAGGAAAAAAAATATTAAAATCAATATTCGTCTTACCGATTAACTATTATACTCTGATTTAAGCGAGTTATATAAATTATAATATCCGTTGTGGCTGAAACATCACTTGACTAAATGATGCGATTTGCTTTCTCCATTTGTTATGAGCAGAATCGTTTGTACCTACATGTTTGTATATGGTGAATCATTGCGATATTGTAAAGACTACATATGGGTATGATGTACCTACTTATTTTTCAATGCAAAACCCCAAATCCATGGGTACACGATTCCGTACTCGTGTGCAGTAATGTTCTCATCAATTTTGTTGAGAATATACTACACCGAAGGGTATCTGAGTATGGACATTTTTATGATAGACGGTGGTGATGGTGAACGATCATGCATCAGATCCGGCCCGCGTGACTATTTTATACGGCCCTAGTAAATTCCAAACCAAGGAAATTTAACTAAATATAATATAATTTTTTTTTTGTATCATCTGGCTCGTGAACCCTTTTTAATTTTTGTATATGGCCCAAGAGTACAAAAAGGTTGCCGACCACTGAGTTAAACTATCGATAGTTCATATTTAAAATTAGAAAAAAAAATCTATTGCCAAATACAACGAAGTATAACTTTAAAAGAAATGTTTATTACTATGAAATTGGTGTCAAATGTAATTAGATGTTAACCGACATGAATGTTTAAGTATTTATTTGACCTAACACTGAAAATTCTTCAGTTATTCAATGGTAATAAAGAACTAACTTAAGGATGGTAAATGAAGGTTAGATGATAGTCAAACAAACTTTTTATTTATTTATTTAAAAGTCAATTTACGATCGGTATACAAATTATTACAATAAACAGATTCGATGTTTAGAATAGGATTAAAATTATACGAGTAACTTGTTAAGGAAAAAACCCATTGGTAACGCCTTTTTTGCTAATTGGATAAATCTGTATACTATTTTAATTTTAATCTGTGTAGTGGATTTTCGAGAGAGTGGTGGTGGGTGAATGGGATATTAGAGCATTGCTATGTATTCTTAAATATTAGTGGAAACGTTTGTACATTGTTTTGGTCTGTTCGGCGGTAGTACATTTTTTTTAACTATTTGTGAAAGAAAGATTATAAACTTACCATGAAGCTTTGGTTAATAACCTCAACACGATTGATTGAAATTCCAGAATTGGCCTGATGTTTAAAGGCTTGACAGGACTCCAGATTGCGATTTCATAAGAACAAACTAGTCTTATGATTAACTTATATACAATTAGTTTAATTTTAACTGCTATTTTGTTGGGAACTGGGCAGGAGGAGATTAAGAATCTTACATTTTTTCAGCATAGTTTACACGTAAATAGACAATGATATACAAAGGTATTGAACGTATCTACAATTTTCTTAGGACATTTTTCGTGGGCTTGGGACGTAATCGAAAAGCTACCATTAGCTGCCCATTAATCTCCGTCTATTGATTTATCGCCACTGAAAATATGTACAATTATTTCTTATGTTCCATATTGTACGTGTAAAATAATGATAACATTAATAATAATAATAGTATTAAACAATAACAATTCGTGCATGCACGTATGTTAATATTAGTATTAGTTATTATTTTATATTATTATTATAATTATTATAATGACGACGAATCGTGTTTTTCAATAATAAAAATAAACGCAAAAATACACGTACAACTATATATTGAATATACATTTTATATTATATATTAAGTGTTCTGCTGCTGCGTGGTAACCCGAAGCGATCGATCGCATTTCCCTTTTTTACATTTTGGTTTTTTTTTTCGCCTTAGACGTTTGTTTTTCGTCACACGTACATATAGAAATCGAATTCGACCGAGATAGATCGCCGCGATAACGATACACTCACTAAATATATATTAATCGTGTACATGTACGAGTTGCTACAGGTAATATACATATATACGTTTGTTCGTGAAAATTATTTTCCTTCATTCTCCAGAATGCTTTGAACACGTGGAGACATTGGTGTTTATGATCAGCTGTTCCCATTAATTCCGTTTACTTGGCTCGTCAAATTGCTGTGTATCCGATTTTAGTTTTTCGGACCACCAAGATGATTGATCAGTACCATTATGCGCGGCTGACTTTCCTTGTATTTTACACCGTACATTTGCATTACATTCCATTTCATATGCGATCACGGAGTACGCGTTTCAGAATATTTTTATAAATGTTCGGACCAATTCCGTAAACACTCTTGAAATCTTATTTAACGCGTATACGCATTTACGTGATGATATAATTTTATCATCTTGAAAGGAAAATTATGGCTTCATATTGCTAAACACCTATCGTACGTCCGACTTTTCATTCTTTTGATTCCAGATACACTGATTATCATTGTTTGTGCGTTCAAGTCTCCGGAACGATCACACGACTTGGCCGATTTGGCGTGTGTTCAAATTTATATGCGTACTTGTAATTGTATAAAATAATGAAATTGCGCGTAAACATATTCACTCCGATACGTAATCAACCATGTCTTGTACGGAAGATATATCAACGTAACGATAAAATAGTAATGATTTGATCAAATTGTTTAATGTGATCATCATATGAGATTTAACGTTTATAAGGTATTTTGACGGTGGTATCAATGATTTGTAATTTTTATGGTTGCAATAACTTAGTATTTTAACATTAAACTTTTATCCAAACGCTAAGTGATTCGTGCAGATTTTGAATTCATAAAAATTAAAAATGTGCCTAAATTTTAAAATGTAAGAAATTTTTTTTTTTTTTATGACATATTGATATAAGAAAGATGTAAAAGAAACGTGGTAGTATTTAAAAATTAAAAATTAATATCAGTTTACCAATTAATAAAAATTATGCTAAACAAAAAACTATTAAGTTATTGCATATTTTCAGGGGTATTTAAAGAAAAGTTAGTATAAATTTCAAAATAAATGACTTACTAAAAAAAAAAACCCGAATCGATAAATAAATAAAACAAATCAAACTTTAAATTGATGCGATGATTTAAATTGATTACTTAATATTTTGTATAGGTATTTATTTATAATTTTATTATTTTTGCCTAATATATTATATATATTTAATGAATTGTATTTTTTACATAAAAAGCCTAATATTTGATATAATTGTATACTGATCAATTTAATTTTAAAGCAACTTAAAGAAAGTGTAATGGATCGCTAGGATTAATTTCTTTAATAGAAAGTCAAACTAATAAGTGGACTGTATAAACTTTATTTATTATAGTTGTGGAGTCGCTCGCTGTGCTTGGTACAAATTTCGATATGCAACTAAATTACTATCATACGCAAAGATAAAATATAAAATAATAATAACAATAGTAAATATAAGCTACTTAATTGCGATCGCGTCTGATTAGAGAGGTAGCAGGAAGTTTTTTTAAAACTTAAATTATTCAAACATCTTCCTG